AGAAACTTCCTGACAGTTAGAACAATTAACCAGTGGAACAACCTGCCTCCAGAAGCGGTGAATGCTCCAACACTGGAAGTTTTTAAGAAGAGACTGGACAGCCATTTGTCTGAAATGGTATAGGGTTTCCTGCCTGAGCAGGGGGTTGGACTAGATGACCTCCAAGGTCCCTTCCAACTTTACTATTATTATTATTATTGTTGTTGTTGTTGTTGTTGTCATCGTCGTCATTATTATTATTATTATTATTATTATTATTATTATTATTATTAAATATAGGGCAAAAAATGTAACTTGCATTGCATCCCATTAAACAATAGAGCAAATTTGTATCATAGGACTGGAATGGAGTTGGAGGTCTTCTCGTGCAGCCCCTGCCCAAGGCAGAGTCCTTATACCATCATGGACAAATGGCTAGCCAACCTTTTCTTAAAAACCTCCAGCGATGGAGCCCGCACAATTCCAGGAGGCAATCTGTTCTCTAAGTGTTCCTGCTGTCAGTTTTTAGCAACTTGTAGGAAGTTCACATAGATTTGCAGTCAGAATAATGTAATATGCATAGCAGAGGAATGAATATTATTGTATTTCATGCCCCTAAATGAGCAAGCAGAAATCTTAAAACTCAAGAATTAGTGTAATAGAATCTTGGGGGGGAGGAGGGTAGAACAACGTGACCCTCCCTCATATTCATAACAACCCAAATTCAGTTTCAAGAAACACCAATAGATTTTCAGGCAAGGATACAGCTGTTTGTTAAAAATATTCATTAGGCCCAAAAGGTGGTTATTGTTTAATAAAGATTGTATATAAAAAAGAAGTTGGTTGCTGTTCTTTAATAGGGAAGTTGTTTATTGTAATTATTAGGACTCTATGGAACTCCAAGAAGTGGTATTATCATGTACAAATCAGAATTTCCAAAAGCATTTAATTTACACACTTAATTGTATTCTTTAGTCATGTGCAAAAGCTTATGAATGCCTGGGATTTATTGCCGAAAAGGAGAATGCATATAAAGATGCTACAATGAACTATGAATTAGCTTGGAAGTATAGTAACCAAGCAAATCCTGCAGTTGGTAAGCATTATCTTTTCAATCAATTTGCTTGAATTCGCTGATGTAAAATTTAGGATTTCTACAATATTTTCTAGAATCTAGCTTAGCTGTATTGTGGTAGTCCATACATGTCAGGTTTATCAAGAGGGCCTGACTTACTGTCAGAAAACAGATAGTATTCCACAAGAATAAATATTGTTAGTTAAGTATTAAAAGTGTTTAATTAATGAGTAAATTTTGTTTAAAAATGGGTTTGAATGTTAGCAAACATTAACAAAACTAATATCAAATTCTATAGCTGCATAAATATAACATATTATAAATAAATAAATACAAGTGCTATGTATCATTTTATGTCTATTCAATTTCAAGTAATAACATTCACAGATGCAAAAAAAAGTGCAATAGCATGCATTATTGTGCTCATTACACCCATTGAAAGAGATAATATTTATAAGAGTGCCAACCTATCATTTCTCTCTTCCTATAGGATTTAAACTGGCATTCAACTACCTGAAAGACAAGAAATATGTAGAAGCCATAGATGTATGCCATGATGTAAGTTCCCCAAAGCAGAGCAGTAATTTAGTTACTAAGGGTGTCTGTGGTGAACTTGTCAGCAACTGCATCATCCCACTTAAACTGGTCACTTCCAAACCTTATGCAATTCATGGAATTGTAAATGTGATCCAGAAAATATAAAACTTCTATTTTTAATGCTTTCATGCTTTTCTGCACCTCTTCTTGTCTTTTTTTTTTAACCTAAATATATATGGAGAAAAAGACTAATATTGTACACTTGAATTTAAGTAAATCCTGAAAGCGGTTATAATCCAGGGATTCGAACATTGCAGCCTATCTGAATCTAGTGTCCCTTTTGCCCCTTCCCCCTTTCTTTCTTTTTTCTTTTTTTTTAAAAAGGCATTTTTGAAATTCTGACCAGATTATGTAGCACTCAATAAACCAGGAGCAGCTATACTCCCTGAATTGTAGTGGGGACTGTAGAGCCTTCCTCCGTGGTTCAGATAAAGTGCTCTCTATTTGCCCCTGAGTCAGCAAAAAGCGATGGGTATAAAATTTGCTGTTCCCTGCAAATCTCTGTCTTGTCTCTACAACCTCTGACTGGCCTTTCTGCCGGATTACACGCTCCACAGGCCATGCCAAGCAATAATACTGGATTAGGCACTCTTGGGGATATCGCCAACTGGCAGGAAACTGTCCGTAACAGAACTGCTGTTCTTGTCAACGGCTTCAACAGATTGCAAGTTATGGGATTAGTCATTTGATCTGTCAAAACCTGATGTCCCCAAACCCACCGAATAGCTAATCTGCTGAGTGGGAAGGCTGCCTTACCTATTGCCCAGCCCAATGATCAGCAGTTCTTCAGGCTAGCCTTGGAAGGTGTTTATTGCTGGTTTTGAAATAATATGAAACATAGATTCAAAAAGAGTCCCCCCCCCCCCGCAGTTCCTCTGTAGCCTCTTCTGCTTTCCTAGTCACCCCCCTTTTTTTGCAGAAGGCAGTATCCCAGTTCTGTAGGCATCCATATTTCTATGCAGTTCCTTTAATCAGCTGCTTGGCAAGTCTGAGGACTGGCAATATTGCAGTAGCTGGCAGCTAGACCAACAATCTTGCCCCACTCATGGAATTTTACAGATAATCCAGTGGTTTTCCAATGTCTTCCATTACTTTTGTCGTTGCCGTCGTTGTTATCATAGAAAAACTATTTCAGAATGGGAGTTGAAACAGCCCCAAAACGTCTTTTTATTGGTAGCACTAAATGCTTATCTGGAAGTATCTGTAGATCTAGTGTATAATTTGGTGTCATATTAATTGTAGATGCTTATTGTTGCTTGCTATTGTTAAAAATAATAATTATTTTTCCTTCTTAAAGGTTTTGAAGGCATACCCAGATTATCCAAAAATTAAAGAGGAAATTTTGGAAAAAGCTCAAATGTCATTTAAGCCTTAACATGTGCAATTTTACATGCTTCATCAGCATGAACACTCGACAATAAAGTTGCGTTATTTGCGTTATTTAAATTGCCTTGTCAAAGTAACTCCTTGAGAAGCAACCAGCGAAATAGCACATCTGCTGCAGTTCAGTTTCTGATTTTTGGTGGTTGTATGTGTTTCTTTCCCTCACTCCACATAGACCTTGCTACGGATTCCAAACAGGGATTTGACATCTATGAGACCAAGTTGCCCTTCCCTTCTGTGTCCACAGGGTGGCGGTGTCCCTTCACTGCACAAAAAATGTGGTCTATTAAAATTAGATCAGAACAAATATTAATATAACTCTTCACTGAAATAGTACTTCATATGATTACATACTACAGCAGTATATTTTCTTCTTTTGTGATGTACTTGAGGAAACTTACAACTGGATTAATAATGATTCATCGCTTCCAAATTTCATTCCAGATTCCGTGGTTGAAATGATGTGTCAACTCTTCATAGTCAAACATGTTGTTGCTATTCAAAATATTTATTTCCCAAGGATATATCCGGGATGTGTCTCAAAGTGGTTCTTTTTTAAAAATAGAATCAGTACTGATTGGTGAGGAGCCCCAATGTCAGCACGATCACCGGAGGTGTTCCTGCTGCATTTTCTCCATACTGAGAATCTTCACCATATTTATTGGAGTCAGGAATGATGGGAGAGAGAATACATTCACAGAAAGGCTAAGGTTGGGCTGAGGCCCTCCAGCTTTCCTCCAATGTAAAGAAAATCCTCGACTTATTACAGTTGGTTTAGTGACCAAAGTTACAACAGCACTGAAAAAAAAGACTTATGATTGTTTTTTCCACTTGTGACGGTTGCAGATCCCCGTCTCATGTGATCAAGATTCAGATGGTTGGCAACTGGCTCATCTTTATGACAGTCGCAGTGTCCCGGGGTCATGTGATCCCCTTTTGCGACCTTCTGACAGGCAAAGTCAATGGGGGAAGCCAGATTCTCTTAGCAACCATGTTACTAACGTAAGAACAGCAGTGATTCACTTAACAACTGTGCCAAGAAAGGTCATAAAATGGGGCAAAACCATCTCACATAGCAAGAGAAATGTTGGGCTCAGTTGTGGTCATAAGTCAAGGACTAAGTGTAGTTTATAGAAGGAGATCCATGTGCTTGTCGTTGTACAAGTAAATTATACATTGGCTGTGTCCATACGACACTAGCTCGTTTTAAATAGTTCCCTAAGCCGTCATCATGGTTTAGTTCACACATATAACATTAAACTAATATTGTTCTGAATGGATGGTTTTAGCCTGATGCCTGAACAGTTTGAGGTGATGCCTCCTGAAGGACAGGTCTCTTTATCACTGAGAGTCCCTTAGTCCATCTGATTTCCCATCTCTAATCATCTGAAGGCAAACACAGGCCACATCCAGAACCATCCAAGGACACCCACTAACATGAGTGTTTAATTCCTACCATTCCCCGAATGTAGGAAACGTAGGATTAACCTCCCTCAAAATCTTCACTTTATCTTCACTGTATCTCCTTCTGGAACAATTGTTTTGCATCCTCGGCACTTGTAATCCTAAGGAACTATGGCAGTGATGGCGAACCTTTTAGAGACCGAGTGCCGAAACCTGCCCCCACTCCGCTCCACCTCCTGCCCTGCCTGCCCCACCCACCCCCGCCAAGCCCCTGCCCGCCCGCAGGGCCACCCACCACCTCCATGGCCTGCCACAGATCACCCAGGCGGCCCTGCAGCGCCATGGCAACCACACCCTCCGCCCGCACCCCACAACATCATCTGCACATGATGGGGCACGAGTGTGGAGACTTGTCCCTGCTGCCCGGCCTGCCATGTCCTTGGCTGTGCTGCTCCATGCAGGAGGGGGGCACGGGGGGAGGCGGGACTGGGGCGACAGCACGCATGCCCACAGAGAGGGCTCCAAGTGCCACCTCTGGCACATGTGCCATAGGTTCGCCACCACTGAACTATGGTATCATCACTGCTGATCTATTCAAGTGGATTTGTTTCAATGCCTTATTCCAGAACATTTAACCAGCCCGTGGATAAGGCCAGCTTTTCCTGTATCAAATGTAGAGCAGGAATAACAGAGTTGGAAGGGACCTTGAAGGTTTTCTGATCTAACCCCTCTCCTCCCCCCTCAACAGGAGACCCTATACCACGGGTGTCAAACTCGAGTTCAAATCACCAGGACCAGATGGATTACATCCCAAGGTTCTCAAGGAACTGGCAGATGTAATCTCAGAACCACTGAACTATATTTTTCAGAGATCCTGGAGCACTGGGGAACTACCAGAGGACTGGAAAAGAGCTGATGTAGTTCCCATCTTCAAAAAAGGGGGGAAAAAAGACCCAGGAAATTACAGACCTATTAGCCTGACCTCAATACCTGGGAAGATTCTGGAAAAGATAATCAAACAACGAATCAGCAAACACCTATAGGCAAACAAAGTCATTACTAAAAATCAACACGGGTTTGTCAAAAACAGATCATGCCAGACAAATCTTATTGCATTCTTTGACCAAGTGACAAAATTAGTGGACCAGAGGAATGCTGTGGATATAATTTACTTGGACTTCAGTAAGGCATTTGACAAAGTAGACCACAACCTACTACTTGAGAAGATAGAAAAATGCCGGTTAGACAGCATCACCACCAGATAGATCCGTAGCTGGCTGATCGGCCGTACTCAGCATGTGGTCCTCAATGGAACCATATCTACATGGAGGGAAGTGTGTAGTGGGGTGCCCCAGGGCTCTGTTCTAGGCCCAGTGCTCTTCAACATCTTCATCAACGATCTGGACGAGGGGATAGATGGGGAACTCATCAAATTTGCAGACGATACCAAGCTAGCAGGAATAGCCAACACTCCAGAAGACAGGCTTAGGATACAGGAGGATCTGGACAGACTTGAACACTGGGCTCTATCTAACAAAATGAAATTCAATGGTGAAAAAAGTAAAGTTCTACATTTAGGCAAGAAAAACCAAATGTACAGGTATAGTATAGGGGGTACCTTGCTCAATAGTAGTAACTGTGAGAGGGATCACGAAGTCCTAGTGGACAATCATTTAAATATGAGCCAGCACTGTGCTGCAGCTGCCAAAAAAGCCAACACAGTGCTGGGCTGCATTAACAGAGGGATAGAATCAAGATCACATGAAGTATTAATATCACTTTACAATGCCTTGGTAAGGCCACACTTGGAATCCTGCATCCAGTTTTGGTCACCACGATGTAAAAAAGATGTTGAGACTCTAGAAAGAGTACAGAGAAGAGCAACAAAGATGATTAGGGGACTGGAGGCTAAAACATATAAGGAACGGCTGCTGGAATTGGGTATGTCTAGTTTAACAAAGAGAAGGACGAGGGGGGACAGGATAGCAGTGTTCCAGTATCTCAGGGGCTGCCACAAAGAAGAGGGAGTCAAGCTATTTTCCAAAGTGCCTGAAGGCAGGACAAGGAGCAACGGGTGGAAGCTAACCAAAGAGAGAAGCAACCTAGAACTAAGGAGAAACTTCCTGACAGTTAGAACAATTAACCAGTGGAACAACCTGCCTCCAGAAGCGGTAAATGCACCAACACTGGAAGTTTTTAAGAAGAAACTGGACAGCCATTTGTCCAAAATGGTATAGGATTTCCTGCCTGAGCAGGGGGTTGGACTGGATGACCTCCAAGGTCCCTTCCAACTTTATCATCATTATTATCATTTTCCCATTGCCGGCAATGGGGTGGGCATAGTTTTGGCGTGATGCATCCGGCCCTCAGGCTGGCAGTTGGACACCCCTGTCCTATGCCATTGCAGGCATGTGGCTGTCCAGTCTCTTCTTAAAACATCACCCACAACTTCTGTTCCACTGCTTAATTGCTCTCACTTTCGGGAAACTTCTTGCTTCTCTCCTTAGTTAGTCTTGCTAGTCTTCTTGTCTTGCTTTCTGATGCTTTGTCTTCTTTGTGACAGACCCTCAGAGAAGAAGGGGTGTGAAGCATTTCTTTGGACAGGGTTTTCCAACAAAGTCTGCTGCAGAAGGTTGGGCGTGGCTACAGTTCAGCTGGGAGTTGGCCGGCATATTACCAGGGCAACGCTCAAGCAAATAGGACCTGTTCCTATGGAAACTTAAAGCAAAGAAAGACATGTTGGATGCAAGAAGGAGTTAAAGCTCTGAGGTGTGCCTAAAACAGCTCCTGTGTCTTTACTACCTGCTCGACACAAAGAAGTTCTAAATAATTAGCAGTTTTCCCCTAGTGCAATATCTCCAGGCCAGCCAAAGTTGCTTTATTTTGCAACACAGTAATTGAATACTGATAGAGTACAAGGTAACTCCTTGATTTACAATCATTGGATTACCGATCATTCAGTTACAAAACAGTGACTTTTGGCAACTGGTGTGTATTTATGACGGTTGCAGTGTCCTGAGGTCATGTGACTGCCATTTGCAACCTCCAGCATGAGTTTGAAAGCTTGGAAGACTAAAACTCTGGTCCTGGTGACTGACCCAGATTGGATCCTGCAACTACCTGTACAGACTGATAAATGTGGGCGGTCCCTTTCTGGGTTTCTTTACTCATTATGCAGTTGTGAGCTCTCCCTCTCTTATCTGTTGGTTCCCTACACAATCGGCTCTTTCTCCCCCCCCACCTCTGTTTTCCAAGGTACCTCCCTCCCAGTGGTGGGATTCAAATATGTGAACAACCAGTTCTCTGTGTGGATGCCATTTCCGGAAGTCCATTCTGGGTCTGGGCAACAAAAAATTAGCTACCGTTTCTGCCAAAGTGGTGTAAATCAGGTGAATCCCATCACTGCTCCCTCACCCTGATCCATTGGCTACCCATTTCTGATTTGCCAGCTTGATGTAGGACAGGGGTCTTCAAACCTGGCCCTTTTATGACTTGTGGACTTCAACTCCCAGAATTCCTCAGCCAGCGTGCCTGGCTGAGGAATTCTGGGAGTTGAAGTCTACTAGTCATAAAAGGGCCAAGTTTGAA